AAACAGGACCCTAATGTAGAGAACTACCCATATAGTACCCTTATAGAACCCCTAGAGAAACCCTTATAGATCCCTTTAAGGGACCCAAAACTAACAAAAAGGACCCTTAAAAGAGACCCTGATTTAGAGAACGACCCATATATATATATATATAGATAGGGCCAGCCATGGCGAAGGGCCTGTTGCGTTTGGGAAGGTCAGGTGCGTGCCGCCCAGAGACTCCAAAACCCCTTAATTAAGGAATATACCTTAAATTATAAACCCCCTTAATTAAGGAATATACTTAAATTAAGGAATATACCTTAATTTTTTGGAATATACCTTAAATTATAGTATGAGACCTAATAAGATTTAAGGTATATTCCTTAATTAAGGGGTTTTGGAGTCTCTGGCCATGTGCACCTACCTTATGACCGCAGCTGTAAGACTTGCCGAGATCGTCGATGCGTGGTCACCATGGTCCCTTCTTTTTTAGGGGGTCCATATACACTACTATTATGGAATTAGGTCCCAAAAGACCATCCCTATCAAGGTCTTGGGGACCTAATTCCATAATAGTAGTATATATGGACCCTCACGGCTCTTCAAAGAGCTCCGGAGCGAAGATGAGAACAAACGACCTGCCAGGACAACCCATGGGCCCCTCAGTAGTTCCTTTTTTGGGATTACCTTATAGGATTCTAAATATAAACCATCAAAAGGACCTACTTAGGGGCCTATGGGTATATGTAGTTACCCTACCTAGACCCCCAAGAACCTACCTTTTTAAGGGTTTATATAAAGGAAAACATAATAAGGAGCCCTAAAAAGGTAGGTTCTTTGGGGTCCAGGTAAACCCTAAGCCCTATAGTTGTTGGATTCCAATGATCAAGGCCCTATCTTGCAAGTCTCTGTGGCTTGGTGGTGTTTGTCAGAAGGCTGAAACGGTTTAGGGACTACAAGGTTTAGGGCTCAGGGACTACAGGGTTTAGGGTTTAGGGACTACAGGGTTTAGGGTTTAGGGATGTTTAGGGACTATAGGATTCAGGGTTTAGGGAAGCCTGAGAACCAAGGCCCCACAACCTGAGCACCCTTCAGGGTTTGCTCCTCGGGTTCGAGGAAGCCTGGGTTCGGGATCAGGGTGCTAAAAACGTTGAGGCCTCGGGACTGAAACGCCCTAAACCCTAAACTCGGGTTTAGGGTTTGGGATGTTTTAAGGTTACCCATGGGCTCCACTGTAATTCTTTTTTTTTGTGGTTTCTATTTAGGATCCTATAAGGTAAATCCCAAGAAGGAACTACCATGGCGCCTATGGGTAAGGTTCGAAATGTAGAGTATCAGAGTGTAGGGCTCGAGTCTCTTTGGAAAACCTGATCTGGACTGTGCCGGACCGGACAGGAGCGCTTCTTCCAGCTACAGGCATCTTGGCCGTTTAGGGTTTTCGCTCGTTTTCCTCATGGGTCCAAGGGGGCGAAACCGGCTGCATGACTCTTCGAGTTGCGGACTGATGTCATGGTGCAGGTCTAGCATCTTTGAACCATTTTCATGGCAGTTAAAACCCTAAACCCTAAACCCTAAACCGACTGTGCATGCCAGCAGCATTGAGCACCAAGGAACCCTAAACCCGAAACCCGAAGCCCCCGCCATGGGAAGCTCCCAAAGCCAACCATAGCTTCGGGGTTTAGGGGTTTAAGGTTTAGGGGTTTAGGGGTTTAGGGGTTTAAGGTTTAGGGGTTTAGGGGTTCAGGGGTTTAAGGTTTAGGGTTAAACATAACTATATAGCCCCACTTTGCAGTTCATCCCTGGTTTGGGCAAGAACGCCCTGAATTGCCCGGAACTAATCCCTCAAGCCAATCGCAAATGTCCCAATGCAGGCGCCGTAATAATTATTGACTGATCGTAGAAGGCAGTAGGATGCCCCATTTCATAAGCATAATATATTGGACTTGGACCCCCCCCCCCTCACAACACAAGATCTAGAACCGTTCATGTGATCCCCCCCCAACCCCGCCCTGCCCCCGCACAAAAGAAAGCAAAGCTCTTCCAATCGCTCAGGCCCCGACATTCCCCGTACCCTCGTTGGTGGTTCTCCTCCTTTGGTTGTCCAATGTCTTCGAAGGGCACTGCAAGCTTTAGGTTTCAGGGTAGTAAACCAGTTGACCAAAGAAGGACTTTGCATTGGCTATTGCAGGTAGCTTCTGACTAGAGGACAAAACCAATCAAGTCTCCTGATGAGGAGGCGACAGGGCAAGCAAAAGAGGCCGGATCGACAGGCGTTTCGGGTCTAGTATACTTGATGGGCTGAACGAGAGTGTGATCTGTTCCGCTCTGGTTGTCTTCTTTTCACACAAGTTAACTTTTTGCTAAGCTTCCCACCATCTACAGCGGTTGAAACGGCCACAAATCACCTAGACGACGCAAACATCAGCTGCACGGCCCGGCAGGGACGCACGGTGGAGGTTTCCTGATTTAGGTTTGGGTCTAGGGGTTTAGGGTTTACGATTTAGGGTTTAGGGTTCAGGGTTTGGGGTTTAGGTTTTTAGGGTTTAGGGTTTGGGGTTTAGGTTTTTAGGGTTTATAGGGTTTAGTGGGCCGCCGCGCGCCGAGAGAAACGACTAGCCAATGGGGCACAGCTGAGCCTGGGATCCTCGAGCCCTAACCCTAAAAGGCCCTAACTCCCGAATCCCCAACACAGTCAAAGTCAGAGAGCCGAGCAGACCTTTCAGAATCCTAAGCCGTCGCCTATTAATAATAGGCGATTGGAGGCCTTGTCGCTGTTATTGGACTGGTTTAGGGTTTAGGGACTAGCAGTATGGGGTCCTTGCCACTACTAACGGACTTTTGGAGTTCTTTGATGCCTCCTTGCCAGGCCACCTCCAGTGCGCTGTTCCTCACCAGGCTGGGGCTGCAGCCTAAGTCCTAACTCCTCGCACACACTAAACCCAACACCCTGAACCCTAAACCCTAAACCCTAAACCCTAAACCCAAGACCCTGAACCCTAAAAGACCCAAAGCCCTCTAAGACTTCTAGACTTTCTAAACCCCCTAACTAAGCACTTACACCCCTAAACCCCCAAGGCCTACAACTCCTAAACCCTTTAAGCCCTGAACCCTAAACCCTAAACTTTCAAGCCCGAACCCTAAACCCGAAACCGGCAGCCTTGGGCCGAAAGCCCTTGAAATCTGAGAGCTGGAGAGTACCTCAGTCCTGGTCCACCGCCCTCTCCTAGGCTCCCCAGCAGTAAGATGGGGGCCTCAAGAAGTACCTATATTATTTTGGGGGTTCCTTATGATAGTTCTCGTCTAATATACCCCAAAGCCCCGTTCTGATTATTAAGGCTCCTACATTACGCTCTTGCCTTTTTTCGGGGGGTTCCCTCATGAACACCAAGCAGTACAAAAAAGTGCCCTTAATATTAAGGGGCTACCGGGGAGCCAAGTCTCCCTACCGGGCCATGTAGCTACAGTCACTATGTACGCGTTCCCCAAAGGGTCCAAGCACCACTACAGCAGGTACTTAGCAGAAAGGCAGTACACTATACTAGTACTTGAACTCTGTGGGTGCTACAGAAGGTACTCTAAGGGCTTAGGGTTTAGGGTCCACGTACTCCTGTAGTATACAGTACACTTTGGCCGGAGTCCTTGCGTACTCCACCCGGCCCTCTCTCTCGGGTTCCCCTAAACCCGAAACCCTAAACCCGATGAACCCTAAACCGAACTTAGAGCCTTCAAAATGAAAGGGTTCTCTATTCCGTTAGGGGTTCTTTTAGGGGGTTCCTTTTCATCCTTGCAGGGTTCCGTTGCATCCGCTAAGGGGTTCCTTTGCAGGAGGCTCCCTAGATACTAGTATTATGGAATCAGGGCCCCAAAACCAGAGCCAGGATGATCTCTGGGGACCTCACTCCATAATCGTAGTATGTCTGGGCCACCTGTCTTACCTAACTTGTAAACATAAACCCCAAACCCTAAACACTATCTTGCTCAGTTTGGAACCCTATGACCTTCTGCGATGAGCAGGATCATCGTTGCCTGGCAGCGGAGATGTCGGTTGCTCAGCTGTTCCGGCGCAGGGCTTGGGGTTTAGGGTTCAGGTCAGGAAACCGCAATGCAACTGCAGATTCCATCCGCGGTCGTCCGGGTTCTTTAACGATTCTTTAGTAATTCTTTAGGGTTTATAACCGTTTATAGGGTGTAAAGCGGCACAAAGTCGAAGACCAGGGTTGGCCTTCCAGCAACAGGAGACCCTGCAGTTTCTAAAGGGTCAGACACAGCAGGAACAGCAAAAGCGACCGTTGAGGATGAAGGTTTAGGGTTTAGGGATCATGTATAATGTCCTCGGAAAGTGTGGAGACTGCAAAGGCGCCCGCAGGATTTCTGCTCAAACTTCAGCGGCTTCGATGCACATTCCCACATATCGCTTCCTTACTTGAAGGGGCTCTTTTTAATCTGCCATGGCATGACCCAAATCAGATGCTTGGTCAATAGAAGTAAGCTTGGAGGTTGAGAACCTTACGCCCTAGAGCCCTAAGCATCTATATATTCCCTAAACCCTAAACATCTAATCCCCGATTTTTTGGCCCGTAAACCCCAGCCGTTAATCCCTGGGCCCACTCGAACTCCCCAATCTACCATCCGCTCGGGAGTTCATCACCATAGTAATAGCAATACTTATACATTATGAAAATATTGAGAATAACCACAATACTCATAGCAATAACCATAGTAATACTAATTACAAGACGTAAGAGCAATAGTAGCAAGGTTCTAGTCTGCTGCCTCTTCAAGTCTGCGGAGGCCTCTTGCTTTCGCGGACGAGACGAGAGGTTTCGGTTAGGGTGTAGGGTTTATAGGGTCTAGGTTTAAGGGTTTAGGGTTTAGGGAAAGTCTAGTCTGGGGGTGTTTGCAGGGTTTCTGGGTTTAGGGTGTAGGAGTTCTAGGATTTCTACAGGTTTGGAGTTTTATTTCCTTGGTGATCTGAGAGTCGAGTGTTCGTGACTGCTGCGTCTGCAGGGGTTGCCACCATGGAGGCCGGTGGATGTGCTGACCTGTCATCTGGCCTGCTGCGTGTTTGGGGAACTTCTGGGGAAGAGTTGGCCGCTGTTTGCACAGAGGAGCTAGGTGATGTCCTGGCATTGAAGCGGCAGTTGACCCGAGTCTGTCAAACGCCACGATTCCGACAACGGCTTTTGCATGATGGTGCGGTTCTGGATGATGCTACCGCCTTGCCAAAAACAACCCTCGACTTGCATCTGGTTTTGCTTCCCTTCAGCCGTGCCTACAGGAAGTTCCGGGATGAGTTGATAGAGGCAGCTGCAACGGGCCAGGTACTCGAGGTAGAGAGAATTCTGCAGCGCCCTCAAGATGCAGACTTGCCAGGGACGCAGGAGGGAAAGAGACCTCTCGTAGAGGCCTCATCTGCAGGACATGTCGAAGTTCTGGAGTTGCTGTTAGAGGCCAGGGCCGACTCTAACTTGACAGGTGCTGATGGCCGGACAGCTCTACAGCTGGCATCCAAAGGAGGCCATGTGGAAACAGTGCGCATCTTGTTGAAAGCGGGAGCTCTGACAACCCGTTCGTATCGCGACACCTACATGACAGCTCTTCATGAGGCGTCGAGTTTTGGTCATTCGGAAGTTGTTCGTTTGCTGTTGGACGCTAGAGCAGACAAAGACAGCAAGGCTGTCAATGACATGTCAGCTCTTCACCTCGCGTCGTCACATGGCCATGTAGAGACTGTGCGAATGCTTCTGGCAGCCGGGGCTGACACAGACTCGGTGAGCACATTTGGGACAGCGCCACACATGGCATCCTCCGAAGGTCACCTGCAGGTTCTGCAATTGCTTCTGCAAGCCAGAGCTGACATGAGTAGGTTGAACAGCCGGCCTGGGACGGCGCTGCATGTGGCATCAGCAGAGGAGCGTGTAGAAATTGCCCGGACCTATGCTGAACTCGGGCAACTGCTGCAGAAAACACCGCCATTTGCGTAGCCTCCGAGTCTGCATCGCAAAGACAAAGTGCATAGCCCATCTTAGCTAACACTGATCGAGGGGCTTCAGAAGGCTGCAATGTATCGACGTGCTATCTTCCGTAGAATCGTCATCCTACTTCACAGTGGAAGTTGCATGCATTTGTTCATGTATGTTTCGCAAAAAAGAACCTAGAATTTATTAAAATTGCTGGACTATAGCACCCAGAAAGGTCAGGGGGGGGGGGGTACCTGCTCTAGTGCTAGGAATGGTAGCGATAATCTCAAACCCATGATTGCCAAATCTTTGTTCCGAGTCTTGCCTGTAAGCCGTGGATGCTACATTCTCTCACGAAGAGGGTCAGCCTCCAGTTCCTCAGGATACTTTGACAAGTTGAGCTGCATTGATATTGATGTCCATCATTGTTTTAACTAGCAAGCTGGAATTCACAGTTATGTGCATGAAGATGGTGATTGGCCTTTGTCCAGCCTTTCCTGCCAAGCATGTCTAAGCCGGACTTTGCTCAACAACGGCAAGCACGGTATATTGTTAGTTTCAAAAACTGAGGTGGGGGGCTACCATTTTGCAGACAATAAGTTCGCCGTTGCTCCACCGATATCCAGAAGGCAGCGCAGGTGACTTGCCCAAGGGAGCAAGCACTGAAGGCTTCTGCACCTAACCTCCGAAACCCAACCCTTCAACTCTGAATTAATATGACTGAAGCAACGCTGAGTCCAGGTAGCGACGAACCAACCAGATTGTCTACAACTAAACCTAAAGCCCTAAAGCCTGAAACCCTAAAACCTAAAAGCCCTAAAACCCTAAAGCCCTAAACCCTAAAACTTTAGCGTCCTAAACCTGAAACCCTAAAACCTAATACCCTAAAAACCCGAAACCCTGAATCTTTATCATCCTAATCCGCATAAATCCCCACGAAATACCCTAAACCCTAAACACTAAACCCTAAACCCTAAACCCTATGAACCCTAAACCCCTAAAGCCCAGGCCGAGCCAAGCACCTCGCCCGGAGGGCGGCTCATTGCTGCTTCCAGAGTAGCAAAGGGCGACTGCAGGCCATTTGAAGGTTTAAATGTAAGTGCCCCGTTTTTTTGGGGTGTGGGGGGGTTTATAGGGTTTAGGATTTAGGAAAATGGGAACATGAGTGCAGTGGAATTTAGGGCTTTGAGGGTGTAGAGTTCAACAATTTAGGGCAAACAAGAATACGATGTGTCTGATGCTTGTCGGTCGCGGTGCCCTGTTCATCTAATCCAGAAATTGGAACTAGCATGAGCACTGATCTTATCATCCTTCTGCCACGATGACATGAGTATGAGAAGGCTCCTATAGTTTGTATCTATAGTGGACCTCAAAAAATGGAACAGGCATGAAAAGGATGATTAGTGCTGGGATTCCCTGTACTCCTACCTGAAGGGCACGAGGATAATTATGTTCCAACTTTCTGGCTTCTACTGTAGACAGTTCTTCAAGCCTGCTTCGCGCAGGCTTCGGCATCCAGGGATTGTCTTAGGGTTTAGGGCTTTAGGGGTTTAGGGTTTGCAGGGGTTATTGGCATTGGGATTGAAAGTTACGGCCATGGGGCCCAATCTGTTTTGGGGTTCTCGCAGGAAGCCTGCAGCAAGACTGAGCTTAAAGAGATTCTGCTGCAAGGGGCGAAAACGGGATGGGCACCTCATTGTCTGTTGTCGTTATATATACAGGAATATAGTAGAAACGAAGATACACTCTGTTGCGACTTCCGGTGCTTGACCACAGCGTACCACCCCGAAACCTCGTTCTCTTTAATGTAGTAAAGCTGTATATCTGAAAATCCTTGCGTACCCATAGGCTCCATTGTAGTTCTTTTTTGGAATTACCTTAAAGGGTCCTAAATAGAAACCACAAAAAAGAAGTATAATGGAGCCTATAGGTATGGCCTAGACCCTGGTCCAATACTTGCTCATGAACACGTATCCGCTCTGCTCAAGCAACTTTTACTCAGACCGCAGGAAGTATATAGAATCCTGGAATTTAGTAGGGTCTAGGGTTTAGGTTTTGGGCCATTGTTTTTCCTACTTTTGGGGGTTTGGGTGCTTAGTGGAGTCCCCCGCCCCCCAATGACTCTCTCTGGTGTTTGTTCAGGATAATGGATCCACAACATACCTAACGTAGGAACCTGATTAAGAAACCCTGGCCCTATAGCCTCAACATATTTGGATTCATATAAGGAGCCCCAATAAAGACCCAAGGTTTCGTAATCAGGTTCCCATAGTACCTATGAACCCTAAACCCCAAAACCCTAAACCCATAGTACCCTTAAAGGAACCCTAAACCCTAAACCCCCAAACCCTAAACCCATAGTACCCTTAAAGCCTTAAGGCAGGTTCCCATATTATCCCTCGACCTCAGGACCTCGACCCCGGAACCCCGGGTCGTGCCAGCCCTAGGGCTCCATTTGGGCGGTTCTCTAAAGTAGGGTCGGTTTAGGGTTTAGGGTTTAGGGTTTAGGGCCTATTCATCAGGATGCCGTACTATCTCGGCGACCAAAAAATACGGATCCTAATTTAGAGCTCTGCCGAACTGCCCATCCTAGACCCTAAACCTTAAACCCTAAACCTCTATGAGGCGGGCGTGACACGCGAGTGAAAGGCCATTGCACCCTTAAAAAAGAAACTGAACCCTAAAACCCTAAAACCCTAAACACTAAAACCCTAAAACCCTAAAACCCTAAACCCTAAAACCCTAAACCCTAAAACCCTAAAATGCACCTATAGTCTTGGGCCTGGGGGTCGGTCCCTTTTGTATTGCCTACTTGTAAGGCCTAAGCTATGGGTCCATAAGCACATGGAGCCTTAAACCTCAAACACGAAGGAACCCTTATAGAACCCTTATAGTATGGTTTAGGGTTTAGGGTTTAGGGTACCCTTATAGTATCCCTGTATCCCTATCCGAATCCTTGTAGCAGCCCTTATAGCTTATAGTAACCCTTATGGTAAACCGACGTAGGAATGTCGAACTGTCGGTTCTCTCCGAGGCCTCGGTCCTGGGTCTGTGGCAGCGTGCAGCTGCAGCACAACGCGCAGCACGCGACGAGGTGTTGTGGAGTAGAGGGTTTGGGGGTTTTGGGTTTAGGGCTTATAGGGTTTAGGGTTTAGGGCCAGTTTAGGGTTTATAGGGCTTATAGGCTTATAGGGTTTAGGGTTTAGGGCCAGTTTAGGGTTTATAGGGCTTAGGCGGCATCTACACAATTTCCTGTGTGAGTGATTTAGGTGTGCGCTAGACTTCGACTTTGAAGGCTTTGTCACTGGAGGTTCACGGGGGGTGCCGCCCCCCTCTCTCTCCCTTCGACCCTGATGACTGTTGACATCGGTTTTCTAACAAACCAGAGGTTTTTCAAAAAGCCATAGGTTTTAAAAAAAAACTATGCGCTACGACAATTGTTCCACTGCTCAGCTGTTGGACCCAGGGCTTACGGTCTATAGGATTCAGGGGTTGGGGTTTTTCCTGGTTTGTACGACTCAGCGTTTAGGCTTTAGGGCTTCTTATTTAGGCCTTGAGCCCGGAACCCTAACAATTTGGGGTTCAGGAGCTAGGGGCTTAGGGTTCTCGCCCCTGCCAAGGCTTCGGCTGTTCAGGCGACGGGGCGCTCGGCGCGGCAAAGGGGTGCACAGATCGCCAACCGAAGCCTGTTCTGATTTTGATGGGGTCTGGGTAAGGGTTTCTAGGGTTTATAATAGGGTTTGGGGCTTCAGGGGCTTACCTGGCCATCCCAAAAACGTACTGGTTTTTAGAAGTTATAGGCCCTCTGATTAAGGGGTCATACCCTACTACTTTTGTGTTGAATAGGCCCTAAAGCACTTCGACTCAAAAGCCTAAACCCGAAAATGGGCCTGAAACCGTCATCCAAAACCCTTTCCCCGCAGGGTTCCTTTAAGGGTTCCCGTTCATTAAGGGTTCCCTTTAAGGGTTCCTTTAAGAGCCTGAACCCTAAGCCTTGAACGGCCCTAACCCTAAACTCTAAACTACCCCAAACCCTAAAACCCTAGAGCCCTAAAACCCTAAAACCCTAAAACCTTAAAAAGCCTAAACCTAAACCCTAAACTACCCTAAACCCTGAACCTTAAACCCTCAACCGTTCCTTTAAAGGGTTCCTTTAAACGCCACGAGGACTGGAGCTCCGGTCCTGGCTGCGGCTTTTGCTCCTTCGAGCGATGCTGCGCTGGCGCAGAGCGTCCGCTGAGCTGAGGCCGAAGCCTAAGGTTTAGGGTTGAGGGTTTAGGGTTTAAGGTTTGGGTTTAAGGTTTAGGGTTTAGGGTTTAGGGGTTTAGGGTTTCAGGGTTTAGGATTTAGGGTTAGGGTTTAAGGCTCCAAGTAGCTACACGGATCCATCAGGGTTCCTTATAAGTGATAAGGGTTCCTTATAAGGGATTCATCAGGGTTCCATATAAGGGATTCATAAGGGTGCCTTATCAGGGATTCATAAGGGTTCCTCGACTCTACTAGTAAGGGATTCGTAAGGGTTCCTTAAGAGATTCATAAGGGCTCCTTTAAGGGATCGTTTAAGGGATCAATACACATACAGTCTCGATTGTAGTTCCTTGTTTGGTTTATCCAATTACGCATTCAAAAAGGAACTACGATGGAGACTATAGGCAAGGGCGACTACAAATAAAGTTAGGGTTTCCGGGCTACTATCAGGTTAGGGCTGCTATAAGGCTCTATAAGGTTTCCGTAGTATTTGGGGTTTAGGGGTCCATGTACCTATGTAGTATCTACTTAGGCCTTGAAGCAGTTCCTATATAGGTACTTTCAGGCTTAAGTAATGTATCGGCACATAGAGCCTTCGGGGAAGCGGGCTTTCCTTGAAGGGGAGCCAGTAAAGTGTAGGGTCTAGGGTTCAGGGTTTGGTGTGGAAGCCTTAAGCTCTAAAACCCTAAACCCCTAAAGCCCTAAACCCTACAGCCCTAAAGCCCTAAAACCCTAAAGCCCCAAACCCTAAAACCCTAAAGCCCTGAAATCTCTAA